GTTGATGTTTCTTTAGTTGTGCAGAACCTTTTTACTTGATGTTCTCCCATTTGTTTATTCTTTCCTTTACGTCCCTTGCCCCAGGGGATATATTAGTGAAAATATCGCAGCAGGGGATATATGACATTTCCCTGCCTATATTCTCCTCTAGGACTTTTATGATGTCACAATTTATATTTAAATCTTTTATCTATCTTGAGTTTATTTTTGTGTATGGTGTATGTTGGTGGTCAAGTTCCCTTTTTTTGCATGTATTTGTCCAGATCTCCCAACACCATTTGTTGAAGAGGCCATTTTTACTCCATTTTATGTTCCTGCCCACTTTGTCAGATATTAATTGACCATATTGACATGGTTTATTTCTGGGCTCTCTATTCTGTTTCATTGGTCTATGTGTCTGTTCGTATGCCAGTACAAGGCTGTTTTGATTATAGTGGCCTTGTAATATAGTTTTGTTATCAGGTATTGTGACCCCTCCTACTTTGTTCTTCTTTCTCAAAATTGCTGAAAATGTAATTTTTGATCAGGTAAGGATTTTATTAGTTTTATATTACGGCTGTAACAAATCACCCACATTTAGTAGCTTAAAACAACACATATTTACAATCTCATAGCTCTATAGATCAGAAGCCCTATGAGCTTGTCTAGTTTTCAGATCTCATGAGGCCCAAATCAAGGTGTCGGCAGAGCTGTGTTCTCTTCTAGAAGTCTGGGAGGGAAGCCCCATCCAGACTCATTGAGACTGCTGGCCAAATTCAGTTCTTTGTGGTTGTATATCTGAAATCCCCATTTCCTTGCTGACTATTAGCTTGAGGGCCACCTTTATCTCCTATCTTATCACTGGGCCCCAGTCAAGATGAACTAAATCTAAATTTCTCAGAGCAGAATCCAGGCAATGATCTTTCTTCAACTTCATTAAGTTCATTCTGTAAGTAATATCCTTAAACCACCTTTTCTGTATACCCTCTGTATGCCCCTACTCTGCTGGGATTATAAGTCATTAGATGGATAGGATGCATGTCCAATTCTTACTGTGTTCACTCAATCACATTACATGATACACTGTTAAATAGATATTTCACTAACTTGATATGGTAGTTCTAAGACATTAGTTGTGCCTGGAAACATTATAGAATATTTTGCTTGTATTATACTTGATAGTTCTTTTTTAAAATTTCTGGCCAATACTTAGAGACAGAGGAATATAACTATGGCCAGGTTTTAGCATGGCCCACTGAAGATGATGTTTTTATATTGTATTTCCCAAAAGGTAGCAAGCCAACAATTTCCTCGGCTGTTAACTGAAATTGGAAATTTCCCAGGTATCCCAAGGAGTTTTATTCAAAGGGTTGGTGGTGAGGCCTAGACATGTTCAGGGAGTTCTGGAGGTGATTCTGATGGGATGGAAGTAAGCCATGAACCCACACTTTGAGGAATACCTCATGCCACATCAGTGATTGTGTACCTCTCTATTCAATAGCCTAAAAATAATGCAAGCCCCAAATGATATTATTAAAAAGGGTGTATAGTTTGACTTTCTTATATCAGTAACAGATCCTTAAGAAAGGGAAGCCTTTTTATATTTTTTTTTTGTTACTACTTCATGTACTGAAACTGTTAGGGCCATTCTAGGCCATGATGGAAGTGGGAAATGAAAATTTACCTTGGCATTTCTTTCTCAAAGATTCAATTGGAAGTAAAGATAGTACTTTGCATGGATAATTCTAGTACAAAGACTTACACTTTGCCAAAACATTTAAGCAGTGAGGAGAGAATACAAGGTAATCAGGATAATTCACTTTGCATTTTTCACACTGGCACAATCTGTTCTACATTGTGGAGAATGACAGAGACATTTCCATTTGCCGTACGGGGTGGAATATTGGAGTGGAGAAGAGTTCTTATTCCTTGTTTAGATTCAGAAGAAATGTGGCTTTTATAATAGACCATCAATGAAGGCATGTACTAGATAGAAATAGCCTCACTTTATTCACACAAATGTTCAGGATACTTAATAGCAAATTAGATAGATATGAGAAATGCTTCTGTTAGCCAATTTTATAGTGACTGGATAAATACATAGAGAAAATAATGTAGCTTAGGGCCAGAATAATCTAAGATATCTTGGAAATGGAGTAATGGAAGATGAAAGTTGCACTTTTAGAATCAGGGTTAGATAATGCAACTAAAAATAAGAATTATTATAAAAGAAAGTAAATTAATGGAAACTATACATAGGAACAATGAAAATTTGTGGAAAGAAGAAGCATGTTTTCAAGGCACCAGGATGCATTTATAGGGTTTACATATTTGTATTCTGATAAATCAGTATTGACTGTCACATTTATTTATAATTTTTATGTAAAATAAGACATGGTTTTACATTGAAGTAAGCCAAGAAGATTGGTTAAATTTTGTCTCTTTGAACATGTAGGTCTGTGAAAATTAAAGCCCCGAGTGACTAGGAAGTTATCTGAGATTTTAGGACATGCTTTATTTCTCAAAATTTTTTCTCTGATGAAATAAATCATTTTTATTTTATGTTGGTGATTCTTTGGGCAAGCACCACAAAGTCTGTTTAGAAATAAGCTATTTTTATTCCATGTGTGCAGTGAAAAAATTACTTTGTTTCTAATAGTAGAACCAAATTTTCCAGTTTGTTTAATTTTAAGTGGTGAAAATAAAATATTAGTAGTACTTATGGGAACCATGAGGCTACTAGCAATTAGAAAGAGAAAATGCCAGTAAACTACTAATAGTACCACTGTGATTCCAAATCTACTTAAGAGTTAAAATGGAGCATTCTCAGTTTTGAGGAAGTTCTTTTCTTACTCAACAAACCTAAGCACACTTGAAAATTTTATTGGCAGATTTAGTCATTCAACTTGACCTCCTCTATTAAATACTTGATCTCTCCTCAAAATTAAGTAAGACTACTATATTTTACAAGGCAACATGCAACTTATTTGTTGGTAAAGAATTTAATGAATCTGAAAGAGATTTACCATGATCTGCTTAACAACTTTGGTTTCTTACTAGCAGATGTATTTCAGTGAAGATAAATTTGGAATAAGCTAAATACAGAAGAAAAGACCACTTGCTGGATGAACATGTGAAAGGCAGTACACAAAGAACCAATGAGCTAAAATGAGGAATACAATTAAACATATATCTCCATACAAGTAAACATACACCTCCTGATAGCAATCATGCCATTACATCTACCAATAAGAGACTCAAATTAATTTGACCTTTAGATGTATCTGCAATATCATAATCCTTCCATTACTGATCTAGAGAACTCTTCCTGAAAGGGGTGACTCCTGTATAACTGCCACTGATCACAGTGTCTGTTGGCAGGGACATTTGGTCCTTTGTAGAGCAAATGACTCAAATGAATTGGTTCACAACATACAATGAACATTGCCAGACCTCACAGAGGGTACAGGGGTTCACTGTGTGTTTGAAAGACAGCCACCTAAATTTGCTAATGTGTCCTTGATAAACCCAGGGACCATAGACCTGCCCTTGGGTTAGGAGTGCTACAAGTTTACACAGTGCAACATACACTCTTGTTCCTAGGGGCCCACTTTCCAGATTGCTAGGAAATGAGGTGAAGAAAGAAAGCTATAAAAGTGAGATTATTTGCACTGATAAATGTTTTATGAGTTGAATAAAGTCCTCTTAAATTTTTGGTGCCAGAATGATGTAGTGAACACTAAGAGATATTTCACTAAGATACTTTTTGGAACTCTGATCATTATGCTTACTAGATAAGCAACAAAAATAACTGTTAGTGTTGGATGAAATATTTTTCAAATATATTGGGTCTGGGAAAATCCAAACATGTTTTTGATGTACTTTCTGGTTTGATTTTTGAGCACATGTATATATTAAAGGTAATTTAATATTTACTCATGTGTAAATCATCAAAGCATTGTTTCATAAATACCTACCTGATTTCTAAGTAGAATATTAGTTTTTCACATATTTATTTGTATATTTCTGTATTATGTATATTCAATAAAAAAACTTGAGATACTATTTTAAATTTGGCTTAACCTTTATGACTTTCAAAGTCAGTATAGTAAACTACAGTTTGTTCAATATCCAAACAACCACAGAATTCAAAATCTGATTAGTTTCAGGATTTTATTTTATAATAAAATAAACATGCTGATATAAGAAATTTCCCCCAATTTTTATTGTCAGTAGAGATTCAAACACTATGTAAAGCCTTCTAACAAAAAAAGATAGTGTATTATTGCTCTTGATTGTAAGTTTAAGATCTTAAAATACTTTTTTTAAGATTTTTTATTTATTTATTTTTAGAGAGGGAAGGGAGGGAGAAAGAGAGAGAGAGAAAAATATCAATGTCTGGTTGCTGGGGCCATGGCCTGCAATCCAGGCATGTACCCTGACTGGGAATCGAACCTGCGACACTTTGGTTCATAGCCCGCACTCAGTCCACTGAGCTACACCAGCCAGGGCTTAAAATACTTCTTATTGGTTCATTTCTTCATTCATTTATGCAGCAAATGTAAATTAACTGCCAGTCACAAAGAGTACAAAAATCAATCAGATATGGTTTCTGGCTTTGAGAAACTATACCAGCAAGGAAAGTAGATACAGGTAACTAAGATTAATAACACCACATTCTAATAAATGATTAGACAAAGGATGTTATTCAAAGGAAGATTAAACTATAGTTCAATTTTACAATCTTTTTATCATACTACAGTTTTTTGAAATTTACATAGGTAAAATATTAAGTTAGATTTTTCAGTGTCCCAGGTATCCTAGATAAATGCAAATTGATGTTTATCTAATGGAAAACAACAAATACATCTGACAAAACTCAAGTATAATGTAAGCAAAAGAGACTAATAATTGGAATAACTTAATAAAAATATCACTTTAATGTTTTTATTTCAATTTATCATGGAGAGGCTTTTGGCTCATTAAAATAATATTAATTGTTATATCAATCAATATTTCAGGTCATGACCCCAGGATTTAAGAAGTTCTTGAAGACAATATTGAATATGATCCAAGAGAAAATGTGATTTGAGTCTGGAGACAGTTGTGCATGTAAGAATTGGAAAATTAGATTTTCTCATGGTAAAATGTAATAAAAACTAAAATATCAACTCATTAATTAGTGAATTGTAAAAATTTGATTCATTTTCTCCTTCTGTTACAACATGCATGATATTTAATATCTAAAATTAACACAATTTTTCTATTTTTGGTTATATTTTTCTTAAAATCAACTAATAATAAAAATCCGGTGTAGCAGATAGAAGAGAAAACAGTCTTTGGGAGATTGCGACAATTAAAAAGACAAAGTGCTTCCAGGTGAGTCACTCGTGGGAGCAAGCAATGGCATAGATTCTATGTGCTAGTTGATGGTGAGCTGTCATTGCATGTGATAATAAAAGCAAGAAACAAAACATACAGATAAGGTTTCTGTAATCTTTATTCTAACATTTGCCCTATTGGAAAAAGTGTGGCAAGGTCCATAGCTCACTGGCTAATGCCCACTGGTTGAAAAATTTTTATCTCTTTTGAAACACATTTTTACAGTTAAATAAATGTTATGTCTTATGGCTCTAACAGGGTAATTTATAGCTCATAAAAAACTCACAGGAAGTTGTTTATGCACCTTGTAAGGAGTAAGTATTATACACATCACCTCAGAAATGTTGTTTCTTAAAATTAAGAAGTTAAGGGGTGATGTTTTAGAGGCAGTTTTTTATTTATCAGAATTATATCTACCATTAGAAATATTTAATATTTAACAGAAACACTTTTATTTAGTATTGCCCATCTTCTGTAAACAAAATGTAATAATGTAGGTGACTCAGGGATTTTTTTTATTGCCTTGTTTAAAAAATTGAATCATTCAGTGAAGAATAGTTTCTATTAAATTACAAGGCCATTTCAATAAAATATGAATATTGATTCTCAAGAAATTAGTCAAAGAACAATTTCCTCTTAAATTATTGAAGACTCAGAAAATTAAGAGCTAAATTAATATTTATAGAAAATAAAGGTAAGTCTTATAGTAAAAAGACTATCAAAATTGGTACTTTTATGTCTTGTAAAACTATTTGTTTTGACACTTCAATTACTTTGTACTAATTTTGGTAAAGAGAAAGAAAACAAGATGTTTTCTAACTACTAAAAATATAAATGCAAGAAACTTTCCTGTTTGTAATATGAATTAAGTTAAATTAAAATGTATTTAATTAAGTTGTTTAGTATTTTAGTTCATAATGCTTTTAAATTATAATACATAAGACAGTCAAATCCTTAAAGCAAAAGTATTGTGTCATTTTAAAGAAATTTTCTATTGAGAACCATGTATTTCTATTGAGGGCCACCATTTATTATGTAAACATTGGTGAATTAAATCTTTTCATTTTCTATTGCAGTTTGATTTGTATTATATAACATTTTATTTTGGCATTAATAATGATGGAGAAAAGATGTATGCTGTTTTCTCTATTTCTTCTGTCTTTTTTTATGGTAAGCATAATTGTTTTCTGGTATATCTCCCTATCTATGATCATTTCTGTTTTAACTTTCAATAGATCTATAGTTGATAAAGGTGAATGACAAAAACATGATGTGCAGTTATTTGATGCATAAATCAAGTAGATTTTTATTTCACAGCAATAATGTATTTTCCTTCAGTGTATACTGAAAGTATTTTGCCCCATAGCAGATATTATAGGATGGTGGCATAGTTGATTGAAGAATGTCAAAATAAGAAAAGTAAATGAATACAAATGTGCAAAACACTAGAGGAAAGTATTGGGTTGGCCAAAAGTCTGTTTAGGTTTGTTCTATAAAATAAAAGATACATTTTTCATTTTCACCAATAACTTAATTGATGTGGATATTTTGAGTATATCACTATCTTTGGCATGGTATAATGTTGATTGTTCTCAATGTCACCATTTGATCACTATCAACTTCAACTGGTCTACCTGACTGTGGAGCATCGTCCAGCTAGAAATCTCCAGCACAATCACTTTTGACAGGTTTGATCAGTCACAGCACCTTCTCCATACACAGCACAAATCTTTTTTTGCATTTCAGTTGTGTTTTTTACCTTTCTTGATATTATAAAGCATAATATGCCAAAAATGTTGTATATTTTCTTCCATCTTTAATGTTAAAACAGCTACACAAAAAATCAACAATTTTGATAAGTTTTTTAAATGCACTGACATAAAGCTGTCACAAGACAAGCTAACAAAATTGTCTCGAATGAAGTTAGACAACTAAGCGCTACTAGAGCTGTCTTGCAGAAAAAAACAAACTTTCTGCCAACCCAATAATTATCAGTTTGAAAAAAATAGAACTGCTCTTAGTGCTGTTATATGTAGTAGATAAAATGTTTTCAACAAGATCTGTTGATTGTGAGTTAGAACTATTAAAAAAGCAGGTCCTAACCTGTTGGTTTTTCTCCCATTCTGCCAACTGATCGACTTAGATTAATTAAAAAGGAATTCAGAATCATGCACTCACTATATTTTAAATTAATTTCCTCATCCATTCATTCAAATAAGTATTGTGTCCATTTTCTGGCAGGCACTGATGCTCAGTGTGGGGCATGTATATACATAAGAATGTGCACTTAAGTGCACCTGCATGTCTTTGCAGGGATTGTGGGGCTGGAGGTGGAGATCAGACCAGGGATGACTAAGAAGCAATTGCAATATTGGAGGCATCATGTACCTTATACATTTAATTTTATGTTTATTTGCAGAAATATTGTTTGTATTTTTCTGTCTCACATTAAAACTACAACAGCATTAATTAGAATTTTTCTTGCAAACTGCTGTCCTTACTTCTAATAGAATCTCTGAGAAAGAAAGAAAAGCCAGTGTAAAGTTTTATTTCCCCACTCCATTCATGGCCTAGAATGTCTCAGGTTAAAACCATGACTGTACTCTTATCTCATTATATGTATGAGAAGCTGAGAGACATAATCTCATCTAACTCTGTGCCAGCAAATAATTTTCCTGTGGTGTTTCCAAGCAAACTTCACAAAGATTCAAACAAAGAAACTCAAGAAAAATATAGAAAACCTAAACTGGTAAAAAGCAAGGTCACATTCCTGTCAGCATTTGTATTTGAAAACATTCTCTAATCTAGGAGCAGTCCAAATTCTGCACTTCTTAGATGTTATCATAGGTAAATAGACTAGAATTCAAGAAACAGGACTCCTGTTTCTTCAGCTCACACCCTGCACTGAGCATGCCAATGAGCTGCACATGCCAACACTGGCTTCCTGGCAGGTAATTCTGTAGCAGATTACCACTCTGATTACTGTGATTTAAGGAACTGTGACCATTTCTCAGACAGTGTGCAGATCTGAGTTTTTAACAATAAAAATGATATCAATTTTATGCAATTCTATAAATTTACTGAAAACAGGAAAAAAGTATTAATTTTTTTTGATATTGTAGATTTCCACTTATACTTTTGCAGCAAAGTGGCTGCATAAATCTTTATTAAGAGATTAAAACTAATCACAGAATGAAAGAGTTAATGTTAATGGGAGTCTGTTGATGGTAAACTTGAGTGGTGCCACACACGAGGGTATTACTATTTAGAATTTACTAAATTCAACTTAAAATGGAAGTGAAGCTTGATATAGTGATACTACATTGGAAGAACATAAACACAGCACATACCTCACCTAAAAACTTTATTGATGTGTGTACAATAAATACTGCTTTTTCAGACTATGAGATTCACTATCCTCCACAAATTTGGGAGGAATAATGGTTGTTAATGCTACTGTTGTGTTTACATTTAGACTGGTGAAATATTATATTATTTATGTTATTAAATATTTTACCACACTTTTTGCTTCAAATTTTTTTTCCTATTTTCCTCCTCTAAAACCTAGGTGTGTCTTATGGTCCAAATATGGTACTCTATTTGCCAATGTCACAAATGAGTTTGTTATTATTTTATCAAAATATGATTATAAAAATGGCAATAATTTTGAACATTATCTTGTGCCAGATACTCCGCTTTCTTATCTTGATATTCTTTTACCCCATTTTACAATAAGAAAGCAGAAGCTTAGGGGGTTGAATATCTTACCTACATTCACAGAACAGGTGAAAAAACAGTGGCCAATTTTGCATACAGCTCTGTGTGCATTCCATACCAGTCCTGAAGCCAGCCTCTGCTGCTTTAGAGAGCCAAGCATTGACAAGACTATGCTTCCCTTCTCTTCTATTGGCAACATTCTTTACATTGCTTGAAGTAGGACATGATGAGGGAGATGTTTACTGTGGAAATTGGCAAATACTACCAATTAGGGATTTCCCCCAAAGCCAGTTGACCGAGCTCTGCACTTACTGTTTTCCACGGTGACAGATTGCTCATTGTAGACATTTTCACAATTCTGAAATTTTACTTTTTTAATCTGTTAGATTCTTGTCATAGCAGAGTCAGAAGAGAGCCATGATCAACAAAATGAGTTGGGTGTTACTAGAAATAAAATTATGACGGCTCAATTTGAATGTTACCAGAAAATTATGCAAGACCCCATTCAACAAACAGAAGGTAAACATAACTATTTAATTATGCATTGATATATTTCTAGAAGAAAACCATCCCATTACCTCATTATGGGTTTTTTAGGTCCTGTTAAAAATGAGTCAGTTGCTAACTTTTCTGCCATATTGGGCAGTTTTAATTATTTCCTGATGAAGAATACTTTATGACACACTTTCTTCCTTTACAAAATTCTAATAAAAATATGCACAATAGGGATATTTTAGTAACACTTTTATGGTACTATGATATTTAAAATATCAAATAAATATGTGTCTTGAATTAAATGACAGTTGACCTTCATTTTCTATAATTGTGTTTTTCAACAAGCTGCTTGATAGGAGTTTACATCATAAAATGAAAATGTTTTTTGTATAACCTATACTTTGAATAGTACATTTGGTGGAAGAGTTAATGAAGTCTAAGTGCTTCTGTTTCCATTAAATTATTCTTTAGGTATTTTTGTGACATTTATTGATGGCCTATTAAATGCCAGATATTTGCCTCAATTCTGAAGATATATAGATGTGTTAACCCAAGTAGAATGGCCAGACTAGGCAAAACACAAGAAACAGAAATAGGCCCTGGATTTTATCTACAACCCTAAAGATGAAGTTGTCTTCAAATATAAATTGCTAAACTCAGTAAAACAAAGCAGAATATAAAGACTCTAGATATTTCTAGAATTTTAAACTATCAGTTAAAAAAAATCTAAATTTTAAAAAAATATTTGATAGTTCAATATGCAATGTTGATATAAATAGAATGTTAAAGTAGATTATTTTTAGTATTTGTAACTGTCAAAATGAACTCACTTATGATAAAGATAAAAAGGTGGTTTTTCCATATTGGTCAACTTTTAAACAATATAACTGAACAATATAATTTGTTCATCTTTGAAGTAGTAGTTGGATATGTCTGCTTGAAATTTTTTATTATAAGATAGTTATCCAGCTAAAAAATCTTTAAAATAAGCCAAGTGGATGGATCTGGCAAAAAGGAAAACAGACTCATGGACACGAAAAACAGTGAGGTGGCTGCAGTGGAGATGGGGTGTTATAAGGTGGATAAATGGGAACAAAAAATACAATGAAAAGTAAATAAATAAGCCAGACAATGACAAATTATCCAATATTGGGTAAATAGGGATTGAATTATTAAACATTAACATATTTGTATACAAATTCTGTGTTAACTGATCTAGCTTCTCATTTTATTCCATTAAAATCTGTGTAATCAGCTTAAAACTATTGAATTAACCCCTTCAGAATCATCTAGATACATGTCAAAATAGGCTTCAAAACCAATTGTTAACAATAGGAGTAGTTTTATGAAATTTTCACAATAAAATAATTTTCTGATAAAGTTTAGGATTACTGCCTAATAGATCTTCCTAGTATAACTTCATTAATGCACTTTGTAATTTTAAATACTCTAGAAAGACATGCAATAAGGAACTGTCTTTATTTTAATGTCATATTTCCCAAATCTATTTGACCACAGAAACTTTTTTAAAGGAATCCCTGCTTACTCATGTCTCACTCAAATGCCATTCAGCACAGTTTGAAAAATCCTGGACCTTGCCATCTATGATGCTGCCAGTGTTGTTGCTAACAGATGGTCTCTAAAGTAATATCAGGAAAATTTTCTCTGATATGCAGCAAAATGCATTTTATTTAGTAATGTATGGATGCAAACTATTTAAATAACTATTTGAAAGGCATGGGAAAGAAAATTAAGATTGAAATTTTTTTTAAAAATTAGAATTATTTAGATATTCAGGACAATAGATCTTGTTTTACTTCCATAAGGGTTTGATTAATTCTGAGATAGCTGTGTAAATCTATTTAGTATTTAAAATAATAAACATCTCATGCAATATACAGGTTTCTCTTAATGGGTGTTTACCTGTCAAGGTAGAGCATTACTTTCTTTGATTAAAGACTGTTAAATTGGGAAAATTGGTCATTTAATACTTCTATCCTTTAAAAAAATATGTACTGTTTTTGGTAAGAGATTATTTAAGTTCACATCGGTAAGAAAAAATGTGAGCATATTTAATGCTCTGAGCCATTTGAAAAGTAACATAAGAATTAGAATTTAGTGGAGGGGCCTACAGAAGTATGTGTCAGGGTTCAAAGGGTAAAACAGAAATATTCATTCATTTGCCTCAGAAAATACTAACAATTTTCCCTATAAACACAGTTTCTAAAATAAAATGTGTTTCTAATATTTCTAATTTTTCATAATTTAAAAAAAATTAAGTGTAAAATCACAGATTAATCACAACATTATGCTTAAGGACAACCAGCTAACATCATTTGATTTATTGAATATGTAGCTAAAATTTTTACATATTGTTTTCAGGTGTTTCTAATTTAAAATGAGAAATTAGTTATTCCAATACTTGCTTGGTGAAAAAACTCAAGTAATTGCTATACACTCATGCACCACATAACAACGTTCCCCTCAGCCAAGAGCTGCCTGCATGAAGGTGGTGTACCGTATCACTAAGGTGTGTAGTAGGCAAGTGCACTTACACAAATCTAAAGATGATGTGGGCACAATGACAACATCATCTAGTGATGCATCTCTCAGAACATACACCCATTGTTAAGCAGTTCATGACTATAGATTTGCTGTGATGTCTTTGTTTTCAGCAGATAGTCTTTATTCTGTGTCAGTGTGAACCCCCCCATTAAGACTTTATGTCTGCATGTATATCTGGTTTGAGTCAGTAACTCCTAATTTTCATCCTCCCCTTAAGGCATCCACTGCAACCGAACCTGGGATGGGTGGCTGTGCTGGAACGATGTTGCCGCAGGCACAGAATCAATGCAGCACTGCCCTGATTACTTCCAAGATTTTGATCCTTCAGGTAATAGCAGAAATGTACATATCATCTTCTTGACATCTATTTAATGAATGTTAGGTTAACCAAATTACTTTCCTTTTTTATTTTTAATTTAAAGAAAAAGTTACAAAGATCTGTGACCAAAATGGAAACTGGTTTAGACATCCATTAAGCAACAGAACATGGACAAATTATACCCAGTGCAATGTTAACACACATGAGAAAGTGAAGGTATGTACTAATTGCAAAATGAAATTTAACTTACAATATCTATTCAAAAAGATAGTTACCAATGCAGTTTTGGAGGAAATACAGCTAGTGTTCCATTTTGTTATGAAGCCTTTTCATAATATTCTTGGAGAACAATAAGAAAAATATCTTTGAAGAAATTACTAGTTATTCGATCATAACACCTAGGAAGCAATTCTGCCAGGTAATAGTGTATTTACAAGTCAATGGCTCAGTACTGGAATATCAAACTTTCCAAAGAAAATACTTTAAAAGTGTGAGAAAAGAGAAAATTCTTATTTGTGGTATAATTTCTAGAATTACATTTTCAAACTGTGCTCCAGTATACAAGTCCAGCAGCTTTAAAACAGTTCTGTCTGTAACAGCCCTCAGCAGAAGGCTTTTATTCTGACTGGCTGGTAGGTCACCTTCACTCCAGTCCCTGCTTTTAACACCATGTATTAAGTCAAGGTTACTCACAGTTTGTCACAACAATAAAAGTTTGAGAGAACCTGTCTGCATGTATTTAAACATGTGTTTGAGATCTGTCCAGATGGTATCCAGCCATGTCATGAAAAACAGAGACATTTACTGAAGAAGATACAAGATACATTGTACATAGGACAATGATGTCTTGGTCCCCTTCAAAGTAGGCATCTTGGGACCTCACATAGTTCTCCCAATCTCAATCAGCTGTCCTGTTGTATTTTCCTGAATCTCATTGAAAGTCTGAAATCTCTTCCCTTTCAAAGGTGATTTTAGTTTTAGGAAAAGCCAGAAGTCACTGGTCACCAAATCTGATCTATAGAAGGGCTGAGTCACATGGGTGATTTGATATTTCTCCAAAAAACTCTGCACAAGACATAATGCATGAGTGGACATATTGTTTAATGAAGCTGCCAATCACCAGTTGCCCATATCTGCAGCCTTCTGAATCATCTGAATAGTTTCCATGGAGAAATGTTCAAGCTTACCACAAAATTGGATGCAGATTCATTACTCTACTCATTCAGTCATTTTGAATGCAATGACCACATGGTACACAGGCTCACCCCACAAGGACTACTGCCCCCACTGACCAGTACAGTAAAGTGGTCATTGTTCACACGCATTCCAGTCCTCTCTCCTTGGCTGCCAGGTTACATCAGTGTTGTGTAAACCATTCTCATTATATTAACAATGGTTGGATATTTTCCAGACAGGTCTCATATATAATATATAATATATAATATCGTGTATATTGTGCATATTGTGTAAATTATATATTATATACATAAAGAGAAGTTTGTCACGGTGATTAAAAGTTCCTGTTTCTGCACTTTAATAGCTATGTGACCTCAGCAAGTTATAACCTCTTTCCGCCTCAGTCCTCTCATGTGTAAAATGAAGATAACAATAAACCCACCCTTATGTTTTCATGAGGCTTGACTTAGAGGAAAACACTTAGAAAACCAGCCAGCATATAGGGAAACACTTGATAACTGTCAGCTATCTTTATAATTATAACTCATACATTGTTTGCTTATTCAGAGAACAGTTTGAAGAAAATTATAAAAATACACAATAAAATAGTAAGTTACAAATAAATTAATTACAAAAAATAATCAAAGAGAAAAGGTCAAAATCAGGAGAAAGTTAGAATGTATTTGTGGAGATAATAGGCTCCTATAAGTTGCCATTTGGATATTTGTCTCAGAGCCTCAGATTTGCCAGGGGAAAAACCAAGATCCAGTTGAGAAATAAAGCCTTATATGGCATTTAAGTAAAGAACAAAAAGAAAATCATCAAATACCATTTGAATTAAGGTGTACAAAATGATAAAGTAAAAATTGTCTGTATCCTCCAAAAGATAATGCTGGTTTCATATATTACACAACCTAGATCAATAAAAGTATTTCTTCATATATTTAATGTGCGTTCTAATTTCTTAAATAAAAAGGGCATACAATTTTTATGTCACTGGATAAATTTGCATAAATATTCTTCATTCCAGACATATTTGTGTATTTATTAGTTTTCACTCTGAGTGATAAGGCCATAAATCACATTTTTAAATATATAATTTATTGCATTGGATTTGATCTTCTACACACATAGGATTATAGTATTAATATAAGCCTTCATTTTTTATTTGTACAAATTATAGACCGCACTGAATTTGTTTTACCTGACTATAATTGGACATGGATTATCTATTGCATCACTGCTTATATCACTCGGCATATTCTTTTACTTCAAGTAAGTCCATATAAAGTATTTTCAGTGTACCAGTTGTCCCTGGTGAGTGCAGTGTCATGTGCATGTTCATGAGATGTGTTGATAAAGTATATGAAATATAAAATATTTCTAATGTGTAAGATAAATTGAATGTTTAAATGTGTTGCCTTTATCTTGACTTTGTAAAATAAATAGAAAGGAGATTGATGAAATATCTTACGTTTAACATCACAAAATTAGTACGCATATAAGAATGAAGTCAAATAGTAAGAAAGGAGCCAAAATCAATATGTAAATCTATGTATATTTGCTTTGGAAACTGTCAGACATTATAGGTTTTCTTACTTGAATTTTCAACTTTTTGGTCCATTTGAGCATCAGTATACATGATGCATTACAGGAACTGATATTTTCTGTGAATGATAACAATAGCATTTAAATAGTATTATTAAAAATAATCTTAATGCATTGTGGTTAGGTTATTTTTTCTGGTTTGTGGAAATGATCATTAAAATGGTTAAATGTTTACACCTTGAATTTTACTTGAAATAATAGTTCTTTTTGTTGGGGAAGGAGGGTCAGCTCAGTTCCTTGATTCAATAAGTGATTGTTTTAATTGATAGTAAAGTAAATTCCAAAATGCATACACAATATTTTATGTTCTAACATGGTTTTCATAGTTTCAATCGCCACCAACAATTATGTAATGCAATGTGAAAAGTGAGTAGCTACATTTTGTTACAGCTTCATCACTATCTCATTCTCTTCTTCCTCCTCCCCTTCTTTTTCTTCTCTTCCTACAATCATCTTGGAACATTGGCAGCTGTAGAACCAAAGAGAGTAGTAGCACATCAAAATCATCCAGATCCAGAAAGTTTCAGACAGTTGGATGTTAGGTACCTTTGTAACTGGAGCGCCGCCTTTCAGCCCATAGTCCATCACATGTTCAGAGTATATCAAATAATAGGTGAACCAAGCAGCCATCATCTCTCTTGGGTTCAAAATCAAGGGATTTAGAAATTATATCAGAATTGCCATTTCTGGAAACCTGTATCTTCTTAAGAACCTAAACATCAGTTACTTAAGGGAACCTACCTGGAAAACTTTTAATAGTATGTTTGACATATGACATTAACTAGGCACCACTGCAAATGGACTAAAAATAAAACATCTGCTCTGAATAAAGCTGCATTTTTAAGTGCAACTTATTTTCCTTAGTAAATTGTGTAAAAACTTTTCAAAATAAGTTGAAAGAAAATTTTATCTTAAAACATGTAAAACATTTCTTAAAGATAAATCTATTATACTATATTTCTCATTAGGTTACTAAAGGGTTCTAGCTCAAAACAAATTGCTGGTTGTGTCACTGCCTTTACAATTGGTTATGTCATGCCAGTTGCTTCTCTACAGCTTATTGAAATTTCATGTCTTTATTCTTGACTATATCCTTAGCTTATAAAACATTTTTGGAATAAACATCATCATCAGAGTAGGAATAACTGTAGTATGAATGTCTAATAGAATAAAAATATCTGTTCTAAAAATGAAAAATAAACTATTTCACAAATTAAAGATTTTTAAATAAAGAACTCAGGTCCTCAGTGATATTGATGCTAATTGACAGAGTAAAAATGTTGCTGATGTTAATGCACTTCTTGGTAAAATCTGATGCTAAAACTGGGCTAATATTTAATTTATTAAATTTAAAGGCACCAAAAAAGTTAAAATTTTAAATTCTCATTTAATATAATGAGATGATTAAACAATTTAAAAACAACATAGTTCACAAAAAATTGCATATCCATCACACATATAAACAGAGGCTTGATTTAAATGTAATTAATATTAGCTAGAAGTTTTTTGTTTACCATGAGGACACATCAGACTATGAGTGAGTATATAGTACATCAGCCTCTACTCTAAAGGCATAAAATGGAAATCATCTTTTTAAGACTGTTTTACACAATTCTTGAGAAAAAGTTATGTTTTAAAACTTTCTAACTTCAGGGAAAAGAACAAAACCCTTAATAACAATTGAAGAATAATCTTGAGAAACAGTATTTGCATTTAAATTTATAATATTATCAATAAATCAAAAACAGATTAAGCCTGTTACTAATTTTTAAATAAGAATAAGAAATATATACATTATAATTCTAATATTCTATTGAGTAATTTCATGTATTTTTTTCAGTTTTGTGTCATATTTATTTCTTTTTGCAGTTTTAATTGTAAGACACAAATTATTTTAACTATTTTATGTTAGCATTTTATAATGAATACTTTCCATGTCACTGAAGAGTTTTTAAAACAGCCATTTTATTTTGTGTATAATACATCAGAAAGCTGACAAAAGTCGACTGAGTCATTCCTATACATTTGATCATTAACACTGCTTCCAAATTTTCCTGTTTATAAAAAACACTGTAATGGACATTATCAGACATAATTTTCCCAAATTTTGCACTACTTTTAGGTTATATTCTCAGAGGCTTGGGATATTGTGCTCAAAAGATATATATCTTTTTATGGTCCTTGAAATTATCTCAAAAGTATCTCAAAGTCAACTTGTTCAAAACAAATTCATAACATCTACCTCTTCCCAACCCAAAGCAATTTTTCTTCCAGCATGACCCGTCTTCACAAATAATACCACCAGCATTTAGTTTTATTAGCCAGAAAGTTAGAAGTATTCAGTGACACAGTCTCAATTTTCCTATTGTTCTTTCCTCATGCTCTGTGGATTTAACCTCCTAACATACCTCCAATCTGTTCAGTTTGCTTCATATCTGCACTACCCCAATATCCTTGTCTTATCAGCCTCAGCAAGTCTGCTTTTACTACCTTTGTTCAATTCTAAACAATTTAGCTGGAATAGTTTCAAAGATTTACATCAAATATAGATCAGATTTTGTTATCCTTGGCTTTAAAAATTTTAGTCTTCCTAATGTAATTTACTTATAATCAGAATCACCAACTGTTCTGCAATTGAATATTCTGCATAATTTCTTCCACCTCCAGCCTAGTGAAATGTGTTCATCTTTCAGATATAATCTTTAGCATCTTTTCTCATTGAAATTTTCCTGGATTCCTTATTGTAGTATTTCTGAAACTGTAATTCGTGGGAGTGAATATGGAATAAGACCACCAACTCTGCAGATTTAAAATTCACACAGTTGAAACTCTTCAGAAAAAAATATCTTATTTTGCATGTAATAACCCAAAGTATTTAAGCACACTAAATTTCTGAAGAACATAAAATAAAGAAATATATAGCAATTTATTGCTTGCCAAAATCAACAGTCAAAAAGAGAACAGTCACAAAATTCCAAGACCTCTGGTCCCAGGCAAGTTTGAATTTAGCAATGCTATAAATACAGTCTTAAACCAATTCCATAAAGTTAAATGTGAAATTAGCAAATCTTCATGAAAGAGTTTATGGTTTAACTGAACGAGCACTTGCTGTGAACTAATGAGGCAATAGTAGGATTGCCAAGTGAAAACAATACTACAAACCTGGCTATATCAATAAATGTAAAGTATCCAATTCCCAATCTGTAATCTGACCAGTCATTTACCCTGTCCACCATGGACTGACTTGGGAAGAGGAAAAGACAATGTCACTGAATTGGTTTATCAGGACAGTGAAGGAATTAATGAAATAATGTTCACTGGTTAGGGAATCAAGATACCAAGAATGCCAAGACAAAAAAAAAAGACAAAATATAGGGGCACAGTAGATGAGTTCAAGAATCCAAATGATGAGGGGAATATAGTCAATAATGGTGGAATAAATTTAGGTGGTGACAGAATATTACTAGAATTAGTGGGATGATCACATTGAAAGGTATAAAAATGTCAAATCACTGTATTGTACACCTGAAACTAATACGACAATATAAGATTATATACCAACTATACCAGGATAAAAATTAAGTTAAAAAATAAAAATATTTTAAAAGAATCTAAATTACTATAATTGGGAATAGAGTGTATATAATAATATATAAGAATATTTGACTTGACTTTTAAAAATTCTAACAGCCAAACAAAATAGAATGAACCACCTATGGCCAAATGACCTTATCACTAAAGATTTTCAGACAGAAATTAGATACCAGCTTATCAGGAATCTGGAAACAGGTGATCCTTACATTGGATCCATGGCTGGACTTAATGATCTGTAATACTATTTCCAAGTCCATGTCTATGAGTGAGCAGTAATTTAATAAAAATGAATAGAATGAAAGAATTACTATTTTAAATCATAATACATAATTTCAGTATCAGGGAATTTAGCATTTGTGAAAGTATCTTGCAGGCAAATAGCAATCTACACAGATAAATTATTTATTATTAATTAGGCATTGAAAGAAAACCTGGTTCAATATTTGTATACCTGTGTTTATATTTATTGTATTTAAAAGAGCAAATATTATTCAACCAATACTCATAAGTTTAATTTTTAATTAAAGGCTTAAAATTGAAAGCTCAGAATTAATTTATTTTCTCTATGGAAATGATTTTAAAATGATTTTAATTAAACTTTTTGGAATAACATTGGTTAAAAATTATATAGGTTTCAAGCATGCAACTCAATGATATATCATCTATATATTGTGTCAACATGGAAATACGTTTTAAAAATTGAAATCATTTACATATATCTATAATCTATAGATATATCTATAATCTATAGATATATGTACATAAAGTGTTTTAGATTTAAGGATACAATCTACAGACTCTCATTTTAAATGAATTTCATTTGTCCCCAAATATTTTCTCATATTTCACATATAAACATGCCTGGTTTTTCAAAGAGCAATTTCTAAAAAATCAAAAGCCCTGTAAGCAATAAATAACTGTATCTGTTTACTAAATTTCATGTTTAAAAATGTATAGCATGCTACTTAGGCAAAGCTCATTAAAGCAAATGAGTGTTTTGTTAATATATGAAATTAAAATTAAAGGTTTCAACCAATTACATTCCTTATACTTAGAGTTTATACTGAATGGAC